ACACAGATATGGAACTACAATCAGCGAAAATTTATTGCTCCTGCATGGATGAACATTTCACTTCTTCCTGTGACGAGTTGTTCTCTCCATTAGCTTATCTATATGGAATTTTTGAAGTGAGTGTCTTGCGTGTTTTTTATTAAGATGGATAATCTTGAATATCGTGCTGGTTCTTCGCCTTCAATGGACTGACCCCAAAATAATTTTCTAAGCATTGTTCACATTTCTAAAAAAAGAAGAAAAGGATCATTTCTGGTCACGACAAAGATGTGTTAACAATGAGCAAACTCTTGATTTAGTACCCTCAGTCTTCCACATCTCCAGACTTGGAGAAAGGTCTTCCTGAAAAGCGCTTTGAACTGATTAACAAGTTGAGACTCTCATAGGTTCATATTTTAACAGCTTTTCAAACACTTCCAGGAAGGAATCTATCTTATTGTAGATGCATTGGACCAAGTATGTTAAAGTCACTGAAGATCCCTTGAAAATTATGTATTGTTATTGTGTAGAAAGTGAAATCATTTTAAATTGGAAATCGCAGTCCTTGTCAGACCGAGAACTGTACAGCCTACGCTTTTAGTTATTGATGGTAATTTGCTTCCAAGCTAATGTGGCCTCTGGTATAAGTAATATAATAAGGGCATGTAATTTTTCCGAAAAAAATTGAAAAAAACACGTTGCTAGGTAATATTTGAACAAGAACTATGGATTTTTTTTTAAAATATTAGTTTGCATTGTGTTCCTTCGATTTTTTTCACGGGAAAAAATATGATGCTCGAATGGGATTTGACAAGACTGTTTCATGAGTAACAGACTATTCTACATACACATAGCTTTCAAAACATTTATGGTACAATTAAAATATAAATTGCCATTTTGCTACACAGTATGACTATTTTTTTAATCTTTGTTAACCCATTAATAATGTTGGGTGTGAGTAAATCATTAATGTTTTTGATGGGTCCAGGTGTAGAGTGAGAAGGTCGAGGAGTGTCTGCAGGATCTTCTGTTTTCTATTTTTTAGCTAGAGGTTCTGAGGCGTCACTTCTACGGGTGTTTATGTTGTTAGAATAATGCTCATTATCCATTTGCACATAAGGCTTAATGGAGTTGGCTGAACTGTGGCCAATAATTTTAATTAATTGTTGTTCACCCACCACTTCTATAGCCAGGTCACTGACTGCTGTCAAACCGCATACAGTTGTTTTTGATTTTTATTTCTTCTGTATTTAATCCTGTGTTCTCAGCTGCTTCTCTAGTCCCTTTGTGCGAGTGTTTTTGTACCATCCGCTTGATTGTTATTTTTCATTGTAATTTTTGGTGACAACAACTGTCAAGTTTTGCCGCGGGTAAACTAAAAAAACTGCTGACAGGTGCTGCCATACAATTTATCCATCTAGACACCGTTTGTAATTCAAAGTTGCGTGTTTGTGATTGGTAGAAATTAAAACGAGGGAAATAGTCATATTTAAAGGATATCTAGTTCACTTTACTAGTCGCAAAGGGCGTCTTTGGCGACCAAGTAATCCCACGTCATGCCAAGTCTTAACCTCTACTGATCTCAAACCGCTTGAGATCTCATATTAAGACGCTTGGAGAGAGAAACACACAGAATCAAATAGGGATCCATCGAGTATTACTTTTTTTTAAAGACCGAGTACCAAGTGCCCGTTGGAGTAATTTTCTCTGGGTTGTTACATCTGTTGTTAGTGGTATAAAGATGATATTTGCATGTTAAGGTTCCGTTTATTCTCAAAATTGATTCACTTTCAGTTGTGTAGATTAGACAATTTTTTGTGAGTAAATCCTCAAAAATTTCATTTGTCAAATATATAAACAGACTTGCAATAGGACGTTTTTCACTGTGGAAATCAGAAGTTGCAGCATTAAGTTAAACCTGTTGAACCACGTTTTTACATTACATTTTTGGAACAGCTGTACTTTTCAATCATTCCTGTTACAAGAGAAGCATATCTTGGACGTACATTTTTGTTAAAGATAGGCAACGCTAAATTTGTGGTAAAATTAGATCTCCTAGGTTTTTTGGGCTAGCTTTGAGAGCAGATTAATTATAAAAGGAACAAAGCTTGTGGATGCCGTGGCGGAACCGATTCCAGACTAAGTCTAAATTTTTCTTACCAGCTTCTTTGCAGAAACGCAGGATACTCATTATTTTCATTACGTTTCGACTGTTGATGCATTATTTATTTCATTTTGTCGTCCCTGTTGTTTTCTGAGTGTCCATAATTATGAAAGAGAATATAGTAACTGAAAAATACAAATAAAAGGCAACGTAGTTTCGTTTAAAACCCCTAAGGGCTATCGTATTTTTTATATAAAAAGCAGTAACACCTTCTATACAGGGTGTTCCTTAATGATATGCGAATATTTAAGGGTGTGAATCTGCATGAAAAATTAATGATAGTTTGCTTTATAAACTACGGCCAAAAAATGTTTCCTTACAAAAACTCGGGGTGTTGAAATTTTAGGATAAAAATGTAAATTAATTAATATTTTCAGAACCGCTTCAGATATTTCACTGATATTCAGTACGTGGTGAAATTTGCATATTTTTCAATGCAAAAATAATGTTTAGCTTTAACAGTATCGTGCGTACGGGTATTGACTTCGATATTTTTTAAGAAATAGTGGTACCCCAATGGTTTTTTGCCAAATAGAAATTATTTTTGAATTCTCCGTTCAATTTTAAACAAATGATTTTTTCTTGAATTGTTTTCCTTCGAAGCGCCATTTTTGAGTAAAAAAATAAAAACCGTTCTACTGTCTAACTTGCAAAATTATTATTAATTTAATTGGAGAAATTAAACACATTTGGGGTAATGAATAACAACAGCTAACAACATGAACATAACATTAAAAGCAACGAAATGATTACAAAAATTGTTGAAAACGGCCCCTTTCACTATCACAAGCTGCAACTATTCTTTCTCTTAATTCCTCTACAGTGTTAATGGGACTTGTGTACACTAGTGTCTTAAGATAGCCCCACAAAAAGAAATCTAAATTGTTGAGGTCTGGGGACCTTGGTAGCCATTCTTGGGGCCCCCGCGGCCAATCCAACGATTTGGATAAACAGTTTGTAAATAATTACGAACCGCTACACTGAAATGCGCTGGTACACCATCATGCATGTACCACACATTGTTTCTTATTCAACTGTTGTTGAAGAAAATTGAGGTAAGTCTGTCCGTCAAGTCGTCCCGGCAAGAAAAATGGGCCAATAAAGTGGTTGCCAATAATTCCTGCCCACACGTTAACCGAAAATTGGTATTGGAAATGCGTTTCGGTTACGGCATAGAGATTTTCTTCTGCCCACAAATGATTATTGTGGAAATTCGGAATGGCATTTCGAGAAAAATTAGCGTTGTCCGTGAACAGAATCATTGATTCAAATTGCGGATTTTGTGTAACTTTTTGAAAATGCCACTGACAAACGGTCACATGCCTTAGAAAGGCAATGGGAAGTAATGCCTGTACTCTTAAATATGGTAAGGATATAACAAAAAATCCACTAAAATTCTCCAAACCATTTGATGGCACATATTTAAGTGTCAAGCGATCTGCCTCGTACTCGTTTCAGGATGTTCTTCGACTTCGTGCAGCACTGCTTCCTCAATTTCAGGTGTTCTCACACTTAGAGGTCTACCTTCAGATGTTCCTTTTCGGACACAACCAGTTTCAACAAGACGACGATGAATATTGGAAAAGGTTCGACTATCTGGCAAAGCACGATCGGGATATCTCTGGTGATAAATCCGTCTGACTTGCTCACCATTACCGTCGGCAAGGCCATACACGTAATGCGTTTCCGCCATTTCTGCATTTGAATAATTCACCATTAATAACAAGATGTAAAATCTAAATAATGGAAAAGATGTCACAGCGAACAGATTTGAATAACAGAGACTTGTCAGATGTCAAAAGCCAGTGACATATTCCAGTGCAACTAGATATTTATTGCTAAATTACATTCTTCACTTATTACATTAATTTTCTCAAACAATAGAAAGGTTTTTATTTTTATACTCAAAAACGGCGCATCGAAGAAAAGCAATTCAAGAAAGTTCATTTTTTTAAATTGTACGGGGAATTCAAAAATAATTTTTATTTGGCAAGAAACCGTTGGCGTACTGTTTTTTCCTTAAAAAATATCGAAGTCAATGCCCGTACGCACGCCACTGTTAATGCTAAAAATTAGTTTTGCAATGAAAAATATGCAACTTTATTAACTTTCACTACATACGAAATATCAGTGAAATATCTGAAGCGGTTCTGAAAATATTAATTAATTTCCATTTTTTTTCTAAAAGTTTTTGTAAGGAAACATTTTTGGACCATAGTTTATAAAGCAAACTAACATTAATTTTTCATGCAGATTCACACCCTTAAATATTCGCATATGATTAAGGAACACCCTGTATAAAAAAATCAGTTGTGCAAATACCGTAGGCGCTCTAACTTACTGGTGAAAGCGGTCAATATTCACTGAGAAATCATTAAAATTGGGCGACTGATTCCGGCAGAAATATGTTACAACTTTAGTTATTTTCTTGGCGATGCGTTAATAATTTTGAAAACAAATAAGGAGAGTTTGGGAAAGGTACATTAGCCCAGACATTATACATCACACCTGCAAATCTTTGATTTACAAAAGTTGTACTTAGTGCAAACCAACAATCAAGCCAAAGATCCCATTACAATCAAAGAAAAACTTAGGGCCAAACAACTACGGTTTCTGAAGGCGATTATGAACCAACTATATTTCTACTCTGTAGAAAGTTTCAAGTTTTTTAAGTCTTCCATGCGATGAATGTGTCACTCTGTAGTTGTTTCTTTCCAACGGAAGCTATTTAGCTTATATGAAAGCTATTTATTATATACATAAGAACAAACGTGTGTTTTGCAACAGTGTTGCTCTTTAACTTCTCCAGTGCTCATATACCAACACTGAAATATTTACATTTACATATGTATTCCAGGATAACAAAGGGATGGTGACACCAACGCCATCTGAACGCGCCTGTCCTCCACCCGTTCACGTCAATATCGGCGCGGATACAGAAAAACCACCCCAACAGGATTCGCCACCCTTCAGGATCTGGAGGAAGGTTCGAACGTCTCACGCTATAAATGGATTCCTTGCCATTTTCGGTAAGTATTTATTATTCATCATTTGTTCTGCTTTTAATTCCTGGTTGATCCTGAGGTATTTAGTTATCATAAGCAAGGTATACAGTGTGATGAAAATATTCCCATAACTGCTTTTTCCTTTCAACAAACAATTTACATAACCTTCAAATCTAGGATACAAATATTGGTGTTCGCAATAAGCTTTAGTTTTAGATATAACAGATGTATGCGTTTAACTGATATTCATTGTTCTGTTTATGGTTGAGATAAGCACGCGTTACTATCCTTTACCCCACACATAAGGAAGTACTGTAATTGTAAAGATTATCAAATAAAATACTACTTGTTAGCGATAGTCACATTACAAAAATCATTTCTTACTATGTCTGGCGGCTAACTTATTGCAGTTCTTGTCACTGGTAATCGTTGCAGTGATCCTGTGAAGCAGGTACTCCATTTGGGCATACGATAAAAACTATTATTGCAAATTATAATCGATTTATTCAACCAATAGCATAAAATGATATAATAAATATAAAAATGTATCCAAGTAATAAGAAAAAACTATAAAAACTTAATGTATTATCTAATATAACATACAATGATAAATTGACTCTTCAGGAGCATCAGTGGCTAAGTTTTATATAGCTGGGATATTGAGTTACACATCTATTTTAAAAATTGTTGAAATATTACGCACTACTCGAGTAAAGGGCTGGGTCAATTATATTACGTTTTATCTATTCAATATGTAGCTACCATACTTTCGAAGCTTTGTGTTCTTAGAATATTTACCATAAAAACCTCTTAGAGCATTCAATAAAAAGTTAGGTATATGATTAGCATCCTTGCTTATATTTTCATCAGTGTACGAAAGTATCTGTTAGTAGTAGTAGACTTTCTAGATTATTTCTTTATATAGTGAAATAATAATCAAGGTCCGGTAATGCATTTTGTAACTGATATAATGACGCCTTCCACATCATTTCCACGATTTATAATAGAAAGTCATGTTCAAGCCTCCATCACAGTTAACGTACGAGATGAAATTTAATTAGGAACACATTGTATCGCTGAATGTATCCGAAATGTGATAGAGAGACGCGCTATTCTTAGATTTACCAACGTTTTCCAATGAAATTCGACCTTGCGTTTGTGTTTAGGAGAGAGGTCAAGTTCGTTGTGGTGTTACATAGCTTTATCTCGGCAAAAGTGTCTTTTTTAAACTGTGTCAGCACATTCATGTATAGTGAATATAGGCTAGGAAAAAGGTAATTTTTTCTGCGACGGGAAAAATGTCTGACATTTTATCTCTGTTGACAGGTAACAAAATGTTACTTTTTATGAAATTACTTTTTTCCCGGGTATTGTATAAACACATAAGCAAAGGTGGGTACCTATTTAATTTTAGAATATTTTATTATGCAATAAAGTGTAACGGTTTCACCGTCCGATCGTATTTATTAAGTCACTTCTCGATTATCATTTCATTAATCCCATCTCTAGCTTTTTTGCTTGGAAAATTTTCCGCTTGGAGCGCTTGATGCGGAGTTCCTGATCTGCGATCTTCCTCGCGCTTCCTTTTCACCTGAGCCGCCGATCGAACAACGGCTAGAAATTTCTTCTCAGTAGCACAAGGTTATATAGCACCATGTGCTAGAATTTTCTAGAATGTGTGTCCGTATAGGACAAAAATGATTGGGGCCACCCCCTTTCTCTTTCCCTTTCACTTTGCCTAGCCTTGGCCAATATTTTCACCCATGCATGTACCTTGGCAGCGCCATCGCCTTTAACTTCGCCTACAACTGGTTGTGAAGCCACTATATGGAGGTCACCCCTCATAACTGGGACCTCCCCTTCAAGCCCCTGGCCATCCTGGCTTCAGTCGAGTAAAAATGGACCAGCGAAAGATAAGTTGATAGCGTTATAGCAGCGCCAAAGATGTAAAACTTATTTTGTTATTTTTGTAAAATTGTAATGTAATGAAAATGCCTTTTTTTTTGTTAAATAAAATCTGTTAAATTTTTGTGTTCTGTTTGTTCTTCTATCCTCTAGCCATGCCATTGTCGACACACAGCTACACGCCTGTAGATGTCTTCATGCCACCGACTGCGCTACCGGAAGCTAATTGTAACCCCCTTTGTGTGATTGTGCAGAAAAGTTGGAATCTTCATTGCATTCCATCTTTTCTGGACTTTTTGCGGAAAGGAAGCGTTACATAAATTGGCGCCCAACGTGGGGCTTCGATAGGTGTTTGGCTTTGTCGACAAGTGGTTTGCTAGTGGAAGATTGGCAGACAGAACATAGTTTTCAAAATTCTTTACAATCTTTGGCAGCATTTCTATTTTTAATTGCTTTTGGTACTCAAATTTCTAATTCCTTAATCATCCTTACTTTTTGCTTAATGTTTAAAATTTTTATCAAAAGATTAAAATTTTTCCACCTGTTTATTTCATAGGCATACTATTAACTTTTAAATTGTCTTGTTTAGCGAGATCATTGCCAGAATTTTTTTGTCCCACATACTACTACAGTTTTTATTTACTGCTGGGGACAGGTATAACTTTTTCTCATTGTACTTTTGAGATTGATGATATTTTGATATTTTTTTTTTGTTGTTGAATATTGATAGTCTGGGGACTTTAGGTTTCCCAGCATTTTTGTCGAATATCATCAAACTTTTGATTGAGGTTGTGACTATTGTTGTTGATAGTTTACATATTCTTATATGCTTTTCATTTTTGATCACTAACCTCTTAGATTTTGAAAGTATTTCTTCATGTGCAGTTTTTTGATTTCTTGAGACTTTTCATGTATGCATATATAGCCTAATTGTTGGATCTCTGGTGTACTGATATAGCTCTCATGATGTTTGGTACGTAGGAAATTTACTTTCAAAATTATTTTTGCCTTCCCCAAATGTATTTACTTTTTGAATTTTTGACTGTACTTGAACTTTTGATCATTTGTTTTCATTCTGATGACAATAATCTACTGACTAGAGTTATCTGGAGTAAATCATTTTGCAATTTATCCATTTTTCTGAATTATATGAAATTGATATTCATAATTTTTCGTATATTTTGGCGGTTTACTTTTTTTCAAGTATTGACACTTGGACATAGTACTTTGATACTTACCTTTCTTTTTTTTCAAGAAACAAATGATGTTTTTCTTGACTATATTTTTGCTACTTTTCAATGAGGGGGTGACTCCTAAATCATTTTTACCTATACAAAGACACATATACTCATTTATGATAATTAAATTTCAACTTGTTGTTGAAATAGTATACGTTCCTAAATAACTATTGTAGTAATTTTGTCTCTTGTTTGGAGCATAAGTTTTCATAATTTTAATGTTTTATAGTTTTATCTGGCATATTCTTTGGGGGAAATTAGAACATTAGTGTCTGATTTTCCATTGGATTAACAGGACTTGAACGTCTCTGTACCTTTTTAATCTATGTCAGATATAAAATAATTTCTTTTAAGATTCGGCTGCTCATGTTTTTGTATTGAAACTTTTTGTTTGTATTGTTAGTTTTTTATAGTGTTTTGGATCCTTGTCATTTATTGATGTCTTCACGTTTTTAACTTTAATTTTTTTTTAAATATAATAATTACAAAAAAAAATCCGCTCAATCGAAGGGGGCGAGTTTTTCGATCTGTACATTGGAGCGAGTAGGTTTTCCTATATTCATTTCCTAGTACAGATGCGAACGGATAAGAATTTCCTTTGATAATTGCTAAGCTAATTTACTGTAAAAGGCAGTTGAATGTTTACTTTGGACATTTGTCATCGTTGATCCTTCAACCTTTTGAAATATTACAATTTGTCCAATACCCATATTTCCGCTCAATCGAAGGGGGCGAGTTTTTCGATCTGTACATTGGAGCGAGTAGGTTTTCCTATATTTATTTCCAAGTACAGATGCGAACGGACAAGAATTTCCTTTGATAATTGTTAAGCTAATTTCCTGTAAAAGGCAGGTGAATGTTTACTTTGGACATTAGTCATCGTTGTTCTTTCAACCTTTTGAACCATTACGTCAGTCCACCATGTACAAAATTTACAAGTAATCATTATTTTTCTGATTCCAATTTAATGTGTATACTTCATCTTTTGAATATTTCATTTTTCTGAGTGTACTCAAAATTTAGATTGCATTCCCGATCTAAATCATGTGACAAATACTGTGTATAATATTTTATAATGTTTTTATGCGTATATTTTCTGAATTTCCTTTACATACTTACGTACTTCTATTTTTGAAGTCTATTACTTTTGAAGTTTTTGATAGTATCCTCTTTTTGAATTCATTATAACTTTCTTCGAGAGCACAGACTTACATTGATTTATGGTTCAAACTTTTGATGTTTGTTTACATATTTTTGAGTGGTTTTGAACTTTGACAGTATTTTGTAGTCTGGATAGTTACATAGATTCGTTGCGATGTATGCCTTGAGGGTCTTGTACTATCCACAGTTTCTTTAATTGAAAGTGTTTTCTTCATATGCATTTTATTTTCTTCTTGAGACTTGTCATATATGCTTTCCGCCTAGTTGCAAATCTGTGCGTATTGATAAACTCTTGAAACCTCTGGCGTATAAGTAAAACTCACTTTTGATATAGTTATTTATGTCTCAGTTCAATTCAATCAGTTCAATTTGATTTGAAGTAATTGTCAATTCCTTCTTGAGATTTTTCATATATGCTTTCAGCCTTTGTGCACATTTGTGCGTATTGCTAAGTCTTGAGCTTGGTTGCGACATTGCTTTCATGTTTCGCTATAGATTTTGAAATATCTGGTGATTTTGCTTTTGCATTATTGCATTTGTTTTGATAGTCTGCTCTCATAATCTTTTTTCCGGCTTCTTATTTCTTTCAATTTCTGTCTTGACTTGAAGTAATCGCCAATTCTTATAGATTCAGTATAGTAATTCTCTTTTCATACTTTACACTGGTAAATTATTATAGTTTTTCTAATCTTGTAATATTTCATATTTGAACTTAACTTT